AATCTGTCACATTTCTTTCACACTTTAAATAATTTTCTCCAAAAGCAGAATAGTAACTAGAAAATTACTGTTATTTTTTATTTCCAGTTTTCTTTAAAAATAGTCCAGCATTCATAAAAAAAAGTGCACTTTACGTCATCCTCCTAATCTCAGGTACACTTTATATCTTACGCTGGACATACACGCTACAAATTTCTCTCCTTCAGCCAGCAGCAAGAGAAATCCATTGATTCCCCAATCTGCACCTAACAGCATGATGGAGGAATCTCCACTTCTGGCTATTGTATTCATCTACTACTGCGGCTGCCTGAAAGCCCAATCTGAATATCTGATTGGATGCCGCTCGGACAAGAATTTTTGGACCGGCTGTATGATACAAAGTATTGCTGAGGTGAGAAAGGTGAAGTATGTGTGTGTGTGTGTGTGTGTGTGTGTGTGTAGGGGGGTTATAGTGCATTTTTTGTGATTGTGCCTTATTATTATGCATGTATAAGTAGCATACACAATTATTGCCAAAACTACCACAGAAACAATTATTTCATGTCTCTGACTGCCAAAAAAGTTCAATGTTAAATGCCACGGCAACATTTTTTTTCAGACTATCCCAATCCCAATGCTCCTGTGATTGGCTCAATGCCCCTTTCAGAATTCTAGACTGGAATTTAAATGACAGAGTGAGATCAAACATATCCTCCACATAGGGCCTGACCTATACATCTTTCACCCAGCGTGTAGCTGGGTGAATGCCGTTCACTGAGTTCTACCGCCACTAGATGGCGTAAGGAGCATAGAAATGCTCCTCAGCAGCACCTAGTGGCAGCGTTTGCCCAGCTATACGCTCGGTGGAAGATTTATAAATCAGTCCCTGTGGGTCACTATACCTGGTGCAATTTGATTGTAAGATCTTTGTACGATCAACTTTAGATTTACCAGAACTATGTAATATGAGTCTGTTTGGAATGAAGATTTGTCTCTTCTCCGGTGGCATTTCTGTCGCAGACCTGTACAGATCTCAGTTTGCTGCCCCGGATTGTAGTCACAAAGCTGTATCTAGTTGTTTGTGTGCTGAATTGATATAAATGTCCCTCAGAGAGTTGGCAATGTGAACATGCCAGAGCTGCTTTAACTTGACCTTCCATATTAAGACCAGGGCACAGCATTTACAGCATATGAAACATCTGGAAATAAAATATTACATTTGTAGCTTGGATACAGTTCAGCTTTAATGAAAGTATTTCAGTATGTCAGTGAAATGCTGTCCAAGCCATCTTCCTTCATGACAAATTTGCTGCATATTTTATGTGCACACACAAAAATACATTCAAAAATACAATCATTTGCAGCAAAATGTAATAAAATGCATGTAAGGCCTCGTTCACACCAGGGCCTTTCGTTACACGTTTTTTTCCACGCGCTGAAATGCATGCAACATAAAAATCCACTGTATTCCTTTAGGGGCCGTTCACACAAATGCACTGAGTTGTGCATCAAAATACGCCTGTTGTTTGAAATAGTCCCTGAGCTTCTTTTGTGGCACTTATCAGTCCGTTTTGTTCCAAATACTTCAATGGAAACGCGCTGATCAATGTGTTTTCGTGTGCTTGAGTGCGTTTTTGCAGCTGAGACTACTTTTCACTGGACAACTGTAAAACGAGTTGAAAATGCGTTTTGAAACGCTATTGCTTATGAACAGAGAACGCCTGTGAAAAGCACTGAAACGCGCATAAAAAAAGCACACAAAAATGTGCATAAAGCGCGCTAAAACGATATCGCCCTGATGGGAATGGGATCTTAAAGTCACAATTTTCTTTTTGATATCTATAGTTTGTTTGCTGAATCTGTTTACTTTTTGCTCTCCTTTCCCCTCTTCATCACAATGCTATGAAATGTGAAATATAACCGTTCCCTCTTCATTATATACCTTATTGTAGACCCAGTGTTGTCATCACTGCGTCCCTGTGCTTTTCTATACAATGCAAGCAAATCATGGCTGGTGGGAGAGGCCGACAGGGTGAGCTTCCTGAAAACATCACAGCACCCAGCCTCAGTACTCCTCTCCTGACCCCTCAGCCCCGGTACAAGCAGTGAGCTGGGTCTTCCGAGGAGTTATACGAAAATCGAAATGGATTGATGGATTGATGTCAGTCTGGAGGAGTGGGTATTCCTGGGCAGACTGCATGTGTATGAAGACTGCCCTAAGTAACAGCCACATGTAATGCGGAGCCTCCATAATGAAGGAACTGAAAGCCTCCAACATGAAAGGGCCAGGGACAGTAAAGCTGGGGAGGAAAGAGCCAGGCGATGCTGGATGTCCTCCAGTCAGTAAATGAGGTTGGCTCTATGTGACTTGCAGCAGCTTCCAATACACATTGTGAGAAGCTGACCGTGTGCAGAGAAATCAGAGTAAGAGATTTCAGTCCAGGAGAGGAGCCGGTACAACTGTGCAAGACTGAAGGTAAGGCCGGAGCTCAGCAGAAAACAAACATATCCTGTATAACACCCAGAGAACACACACAGGGCAAGAAACTCACCATTATTCTATTCACACCCTACACCCAGAAATATTCTCAACAGTGTCACAAATACGATTTGTTATGTTTAGAAAAATAATCTGTCATTTAAACATTTCACAGCAAAAAAATACGCATTAAACCCCCCAAACCATGGATCACAGTGTCAGCTGCCGGGGCTGCTGGGCTTCTCTATAGTTCTTTGTGGACCTTCTCAGTGTTATTTATGAAAGAAAAGGGGAATCCTCATCTAGGGGGTATTTAGATTGATGGATGGAGATCAGACTGCATTCTTGGTGCGGCTCAGCGTAATACACAAGACCGATCAACAGCTTTTGTGCGCCAATCTCGTCAATCACATCAAAACTACAGGGAGCTTCTAAGTGTGAATTAAATGCTTTCAAAGAAGAACGCCAGGAAAAACAAAAACTTACCCCTGCAGTGCAAGGGTTAAGTGTGTCTAGGGGGCACAAATAAAGCAGATACACTCACCTGATCCTCAGTCCTGCTGGGCTACCAGACTGCAGCCCCGCAGCCTCTTCTCCCTTGGGCTCCAGCAGTCTAAGGACCACTGATGTCATCGTGTGTTATGGAAATCCATTGACTTGCATTAGAAGTGAGATCTCTGAGGGACATTCCACAGCCAGAGTGGGGGGTGCCAACCGCCACCTGACCGAGGATCAGGTGAGTATATCTGCTTCATTTGACTCTGTTAGACAAAACAAGCTTAGTCCTTGCAGCGCAGTGGTAGCCCCACTACAAGGGTAAGTTTCCCAAAGTTCTTCTTTAAAAAAGTATCCGAAGTACATGTTTAAGGGCAAATGCTGCATGCTTTCAGGTATATTCAGCCGGCATTTGAGATGCTTCAGAGTACATGTTGAGCTGCCTTCTGAGTTGCTTCTGGGCTACCCTAAGCAGTGTTTGCATTTCCTTTGACACATGAGTCTGGTATTAGCGGATTGATAAGGCCAATCTAGATTCAACATTTGCTGCATTAAACATATACAGTAGTAAATCTTACCAAAATTAGGAGTGCAGCAAATGGGACTCAAAACAGTGAAAGTGTGGGCAGTGAATGCAAGTATAGCAAATGTGTGGGGAATGATCATCTCACCATTCATCTGCCCCTTAATAGACATGCTCCTGAGTGTTGCTGTGATGTTGCTCTAATTGTCTGATTTTGTAACTGTAGGAATATGGCAATAGATGAGTGGTGACGATGGGTGACTAGTAAATATAAAGTCATTGAAAATACTTTCTGAGAAGATCTCAGCAATACCCATCCTTCCTTACAAACTAACTGCAATCAATGACCTGACTTAAAACAGCCACGAGCTTTTTTCTTTGAAGTTCATTTAAAAAAACTTAGATCTGTATGTTGATCCCAATTAATTAAAGTCAGTAAACGAAACAACTCAGTACTAAGCAGATACTGGGTAACAGTAACAAAAAGTGAAAACGTACTCAAAGTACAATAGAAAAGAAGGAGCTTTACCGATAGAAAAGTAACAATAAAATACACAATAAAAAGTGTCGTTCTTTGTAAATGATTGATATATTGTAAGCCATGTTAGTCGGTGAAGTACAAAACAAAATAAAAGCATTAAAAATAAATAGTTAAAAATTAAAAAAATATCAGTGCTGTTTGGTCTTTGTTTTATAAAACAGAAATCAAATAAAATGTAAAAAAAAAAAAATCATAAAACAAAAAAAGAGTCTACAGTGTTACAATGCTTAATTCAAGTAATAAGCTACGTGTATGGGTAAACCCACTAATTAAAGTAGCAGTCCCTTTTTCCTTGGTTTCAACGTGATGGTCATAATAATGCGTGCTCCTTTTTTTGAGGATACTGTAAATACAACCTAAACTGAAGAGCAGGGAAAAAAATAAAATTAAAAACAACAAAAATATATTTAAAATAACTTAATTTGGTAAAGCTAAAAGGTAAGTGTTTGAAGAAGGCATTTTGTTTGTTACTGTCCGGACCTGTAGTGTACGTCTTTCCTTATTTCACAAAAGTCAAGAATTACTTCTGTTGCTTTAAAGCTGAACTCCAGGCAGCTAAAAACAAATAAATGCTGCTCTGGATTCATTAAATGAATTGTTAAATTCAATCAGTACATACATCTGATTTTGTATCTGCCTCTTGCAGTCCCTGTACAGCAGAGTTTAGACTGGAAGAGGAAGGAGCAGCACAAGGAAACAATCAGTTGTGCTGCAGTGCTTATGTGCTAACAAGGGGAATGCTGATTGAAGGAGAGCGCAGAAAGATGAGCTTATCAGTCTGCTGCTTCTCCTTTCACTGTCTAGTCTAGACTGGGGGAGGGACAAGACTTGTAAGAGGTACTCAACTACTGCAGGCCTCCTGTCCTGTCAGATAGGGCTGTGCTTTGTGGTCGAGCTGTGTAACTTTCAGGACTGGTTGCACAGAAATACAAATCCTCTGGAAGGCAAAGCAGCTCCCATATATTCAGCTGTTCATGTGGAGTTCAGCTTTAAGTCACAATATGGTAACATGTGAATTTATGATCAGTAGTTTAACATTATTGGTCTTTAAAAGGGACTGGTCCTTTAAGCTGGTTTGTTGTTAGGGAATGATCAGAGGAATAAAAAGTGCGTCCCTGGAAACCCCTCTGATGCACCAAAATATCAAAATATAAATAAATATCTATGCTTTATAAAATTAATTAGCCGTTTTACAAAGGCTGAGGGTTATGCGATTTACCAAAGCAGTTACAAAAACAATTAAAGGAAAATAACCCTTGCTTTTCATACGAAGCTATTATAACCCTGTGCTGTAACTGAGCCTTCGTTCCTCAATACAAATCTTGAGCACAAATAAGACTCGAGTGTGTGACCACAGAAGATGCATGGCTCTATAATTAACATAAATGAATTACTATATAACCCCCTGAGAAGGAGATTACAAATGCTATTGTAGCAAACCTCCTTCAGCAATAGCTGAACAAAAGAAATAAACTTCACACCGCAAAAGGTGTATAGTTTTTTTTGTTTGTTATTATCTTCAATATCCACACTGGGATTTTTCCATCAAAATGGCTGCTGCGAGCTGCTGGGCGTCGGCGACATGCGGATTCCTTTTCATCACGATGCGCACAAGTTCTGCCGGGAAGATGTTACACAAGTTCACAAAGATCTTTTCTCTGGTGTTTGAAATTCTTGGAAGTTCTTGGGGGATGCCGCAGTATGGAACCCTCCAAGAAGGGTCTTGGTTTTCCAATGCGCTCTGGAAAGCAAACTGCTCATAACATGGCTGTGATGGGTTGCCCGGCACTGGGTAACTGGGACGATAACCATAAGCATCCACAGCATAATTTACCCGGTCGCCGTTCCTTGGGCTTTCTTGGCTAATGTATAACTTGTGCTGCCGTTGAGGAGGGCTTTCATACAAGCGGGAATCAGAAATACTCTCCATCCTTGTAGAAACCAGTGATCTACCCATAATTCCACTCTTTGACATAGGGGAATTCGGGGCAATGTGGTAATCATTTGGGCAGCTTGAACGTGCTGCAACGGCATGATGCAAGGGAGGTAATGGCATGTACGGTGGTGGAGGCTTGTGGTGGTGCTTTGGTTCTGGCTCATGACCATAACTTTGGACTCTTATCAAGGGGTCATGGTAGCCCTGGAATGCTTGGGAATTTGTTCGGCTGTGCGTGTGAATATGTTGACATTTTAGGTTTTCCTCCAGCTGAGGGTCAGGGGAGCTGACATATGATCGGTCATTATAACCCGAGTAGGAATCACTGCTCCCACAACTCAAGCTACCTTCGCTGCTGCAGTCAGAAGCCACAAAACCTATCCGGTAATCTGTATCCAATGAGAAACGACGTTCCGGACTCCGATTTCCAGAGATGCAGAGATTTGAATACACATTCATCTTCGAATAATATCCAGTATCCACAGGGGATTCACATTTAGGGTATTGGTCACATGGGAATGTCCCATGATTCTTTGTTGCCAGTATCATCGGAGAGTAGAGTCCAGGTGGTAGTTGGTCCTGAGATGGTAAATGTACATTGGCAAGAGCTCCGTTTCTTAACGGAGTCATACTTTGGGGTTTCACACTTGATATACTAACTAAAGATGGCACAGACCTAGTTTCCAACTTGTTTTTGGTGGGGAGCTTCTCCTCCATGTCATAAGCCTGAGTTCTTATACTCGGGTCTGATTGCCTCTTTGGAGTTGAGCGCTTTACATCTGAGCCGATGTCAATCTTTGTATTTGAAGGCACACTGTTGCTCTTCACCAGTCCAATTTCACCAGCGGTTTTGGCTATGTTGTTCCGAGACATGGCACGAAGTTCATCAGCTACGGACCTTTGGGGCTGATTGCCCCTTTCGGGGTGATAATACTTGCATTTATGACCATAGGTACATTTCTTTCCTATGAGGGAAAAAAAAGAAACAAATAGGAAATGTGTTCTATCACTAGACATTTTCACTCTAATATAAAATTGTATTATTTCATTTCAAGAAGTAATATATCCAGAAAAGAGCGACAAGAACAAGGTAATTTTTACTACAAAAATGAGCAGAAAATTTACTTCTTTATAACCTGCTTCACTAACAATACTATAACCATATGTTTTTGCCTAGAAGTCTTTAAACAAACACAAAGTCTTTTTACAAAATAAATTCGCCATTGCAAATTTTTTTAAATTGAAGTCTAAGCCCAATGGCCTTCGCATCAAGTTCCTGTTATCCTTTTTTTTTTAGCTAGTAAAGTTTGTGCATTTACCTGACTCTACTATAACTTTGCTACTAAGGGCTAGACTTTCCAGAATCAATCCTCACCCTCAACTCTAAGCCACCTGTCACCCCCTGCTAATAGGAGCACTCCACTTTTAAAATGTGGGTGGTGCTTATCTAGAGGGGTTTTTCCCTCAAAGTCACAGAAGGCCAGGTCATAATACAAAATGTGTCCAGGATCAGAAGGATGTGCAGAAGAGGCTTTTCTGGATAATAATTGCTTAGTGATTACTACTTCTGCCTTGCAGCACTGGCAGTCCCCGGCTTGAATCCCAAACAGGACACTATCTGCATGCAGTTTGCATGCTCTCCCTGTGCTTGTATGGGTTTCCTCCAGGTACTTTGGTTTCCTCCCATGTTCCAAAGACATGCTGGAAGGTTAATTGGCTCCATTCTAAACTGGCCCTAGTACCGTATATACTCGAGTATAAGCCGAGATTTTCAGCCCATTTTTTTGGGTGAAAAGTGCCCCCCCTCGGCTTATACTCGAGTCAGCGCCAGCGCGTCATCTTACTTACCTCGCCGAGCGTCGCGTCACTACGTGCGTATGAATGAATGTAATATAGGGGACTGATGTGAATGAATAGTATGTAAAGCGCTGCGTAAATTGAAGGCAATATATAAATACTTGTAATAAAAAAGGAATGTGTGCTTTGAAAACGTTGTTTCTATGTATTTGTTATTATATATGTACCCTATATTGCCAAACGTATTGGGACACCCCTCCAAATCATTGGATTCAGGTGTTCCCATTACCTCCATGGCCACAGGTGTATAAAATCAAGCACCTAGGCATGCAGACGCTTCTACAAACATTTGTGAAAGAATGGGTCGCTCTCAGGAGCTCAGTGAATTCAAGCGTGGTACCGTGATATGTTGCCACCTGGGCAATAAGTACATCCGTAAAATTTCCTTGCTACTAAATATTCCACGGTCAGCTGTTAGTGGGATTATAACAAAGTGGAAGCAACTGGGAACAACAGCAACTCAGCCACGAAGTGGTAGGCCACATAAAATGACAGAGCGTGGTCAGCGCATGCTGAAGCGCACAGTGCACAGAAGTCGCCAACTGTCTGCAGAGTCAATTAATACAGACCTCCAAACTTCGTGTGGCCTTCAGATTGGCACAACAACAGTGCGTAGAGAGCTACATGGAATAGGCTTCCATGACCGACCAGCTGCATCCAATCCTTACATCACCAAGTGCAATGCAAAGCATCGGATGCAGTGGTGTAAAGCACGCCGCCACTGGGCTCTAGAGAAGTGGAGACGTGTTCTCTGGAGTGACGAATCACGCTTCTCTATCTGGCAATCCGATGGACATGTCTGGGTTTGGCGGTTGCCAGGAGAACGGTACTTGCCTGACTGCATTGTGCCAAGTGTAAAGTTTGGTGGAGGGGGGATTATGGTGTGGGGTTGTTTTTCAGGGGTTGGGCTTGGCCCCTTAGTTCCAGTGAAGGGAACTCTTAAGGCATCAGCATACCAAGACATTTTGGACAATTTCATGCTCCCAACTTTGTGGGAACAGTTTGGGGATGGCCCCTTCCTGTTCTAACATGACTGCGCACCAGTGCACAAAGCAAGGTCCATAAAGACATGGATAAGCGAGTTTGGGGTGGAGGAACTTGACTGGCCTGCACAGAGTCCTGACCTCAACCCGATAGAACACGTTTGGGATGAATTAGAGCGGAGACTGCGAGCCAGGCCTTCTTGTCTTACATCAGTACATGACCTCACAAGTGCGCTTCTGGAAGAATGGTCAAACATTCACATAGAGACACTGCTAAACCTTGTGGACAGCCTTCCCAAAAGAGTTGAAGCTGTAATAGCGGCAAAGGGGGCCAACTCAATATTGAACCCTACGGACTAAGACTGGGATGCCATTAAAGTTCATGTACGTGTAAAGGCAGGCGTCCCAAATACTTTTGGCAATATAGTGTACATGAGGAGTATTCATATTTGTTAATTACATATGCAAGCTCTGCTTACTGCTTTGCAGTTTTACACAATGGTTCTGCCTCAGTGTTCCTTGTCACTGGCTGACCTCAACTGCTAAATGCAAATCACTATATTTATAATAATATCATAAAAATAGGAAAGGAAACTTGTAAAAACAAGTCACATTACCTTTCTAAAAAGTACACACTGCAATATTAATTCAAAACATGTTTTCCCTGATCATACACTACACAATTAGTTAACCAAATAATATACAGTATGTAAAAAAAAAAAAGGACAATCAATCACATACCATATGGGCATGGCTGCTTCTTGTATTCAGGGAGAACAGGCTTCTTCCTCAAAAAATTATCCAGGCTTGGTCCATGTCGGCCTAGTGGATCATCAGGAGGCATAAATCTGCAAAAGGAGGCACATACATAGCATTTATTTCATCATACACGAAAAACATCATACATATAAACCTTCGTGTTACACAAAGCTCAAAATGATTAAGTAACCTGACATAAGCAGTGAATGTCACAAAATTGACTTCGGGTGAATTATTCCATGTAGTTTAAAACAGATTTACCTGCAGAGCCACATTTACTGCTTTATAAATTTGCCCCAAAATGTTACCATTGTTGTTTTTTGTTCCACTGATCTTAATCAATCATTGGCATTGTTCTTACAAACGGTCACCAACTTAGCAACTTACCAGTGACAGCTGATTAGTAATACACTGATGGGATTCAGAGTCCAGGGGTTGCCAAATGGAGGCAGTGCTATACCAAGGTATGCAGAGCCCAGCATATTAGAACACTATTTCATTCATTGAGCTGATTTTTTCAAAATTTGTTTAAAAAATAAATCAACTTTGCTTTATATATTTTAAGGGTGTTGTGAATTTAGAGTAGTTTAGTGTTTTAATTTAGTTTAGTGTTTTTAATTTACCTTTTTTGTTTTTTCCATTCTTTTTATTGTGCATCGGTATTGGTGTAATGTTGCTTTAACTTTTTAACTGTACTCTTTTTTTCCCCAACTGTTTGTTTTTGGTTCTTATGAGGGGTCATTTTTTTGCCACAAGAACAGGTCCAGAAACATTGGAAGGAGCTTCCGTAACCACAAGGAAAAAAAAAAACAATTTCTGTCTGTTACTGTTGGAGACTTTCCCTCACTTCTAATGGAGCCATGAATAGAATTACAACAACCAACAAGGTTCAGTTTTGGCTGAATAAACCGAATCCTTAACCTAACCCTGAAAATTGTCTACAGTTATATATTTATACTGACAGCCATTTTTGGCCAACACAAAGTATACAATTAGTTGGATCATGGTGTAAGTTTATGGTTTGTGTAACAGATTTTATATAAAGTGATAAAGTAAATAGCAGGGATGTTGATTGTTTGTTTTCCAGGGTACCAGAAACAGGGGTTATAGATTATAGGAGTATAGGTAAACCTACCATAGCAGATGTATTGGTGCCGCCATTGCTGTCTTCCTTTTGTAGATACTAGCTGTCTTATTTTCTGACCTACTGGATTAATACTTTTTAAGTCATTGACCTGGAACAAGTATGCAGTTGACTTATGCCCTAAGACCTTTTTCAGCATGCTTGGTCTGGAACAGTTTGGGTGGGAGCGGGTGATGCACGGTACCTCTGGCTCCGGCTCTGCCCAGCATCCCGCCAAGCTCACTGACATCACTTGTTGCCAGGAGCTGGCCTGAACGCCAGCCAGAGTGTCCCCTCACCTCCTCCATGTGACCCAATGAGATGCCACCCGAGGGAACCGCCTCAGTCTGCCTCATTATAAGGAAGGCCCTGTTGGTATATCATTAAATACATATTTGTCAAAGTTGGCACGCAGTTTTAATCCAAATCCAAGACACCTATAAATGATGAGTGCACTTTAAAACAAAGTGCAATTATCCTTTTCGTCCCTTTCCTCCCTTTCTTGGTCAAAACTAGTCCACCCATCCCCTCCTCATTTTTTATTTACCTCAATTACAATTATTTATATAGCACCAACATATTCCGCAGTGCTGTACACTCGTTTAGACAAGACAAGTAATAAACACTGACAAGCATCATTTACATACAGGGGTTGATTTACTAACCTTATAAAGACACCACGAACATGTATACACCTCTGTAGTGTGTTCCCTCCCAGCATGATCTATGGGTGGAATCTAAACACCTTTGTAGTGTGTACACACCCAGCAGGTGTGTTGTGCAAAGCCTTGCATGAATTACAAGGTGATGTTGTGTAAATTAGCTCTATGTTGTGTTGCTTGCGTTGATGAATGCAGGAATGTAAATGCATGAGCTAACCATTTTTGTCTAAACTGTGAAGCAGCATTATATATGCATCATGTGCATGATTTTTCCATATATGGCATTAGTGGAAATATGCTTTTGGAGACTTTTTGGTTGATAATTACGTTTTGCTGTGTGAAAATCACACGCACCTGGTGCGTGCGTGTGTTTAGGTTAGTAAATCACCCCCACAGAAACAGTATGTGGAGAGGACCCTGGCCAAACGAGCTCACAGCCTCGATCTGGCATCTGCAACTTCCGCTGTTTGTGCGTTGGCCGTGTCTGCACAGTAGTTCCCAATAGAATTCCCATGGGCTGTGTCCCAAGACACTTGATTTAATGTGTGCTTATCCTTTAATGTTATAGATTTGTTATTATTTGAAGAATGGCGCCTTTATAATTTCATCTTCTGGTTCAATTTGTACATTTTGTGATTGTTTGTGAATGTTGCTTTTTTCCATCCACGATGAAGTGTTAGTATGCAATAGAGGTTATATTTAATTAGAATCTCCTCAGGTCACCTCAGTACCTCTTTTGCTGACAGCTCCCTGAAAAGAATTGTTACATTTGGAGAAAGCGATGGCATCACCGGAGTTATATTTAGGTAGCACTTCTGGTACAGACTGCAGACAAGAAGAAAATGACATCCTTCAATGTTCTATTCTATTTTCTCTCCCTTATAACTGAACCTACTGAGCGGTGCCCATAAAAATGTCATTACTGACTCATAGATGACAATTAATTTCATGATAACTAAGGATTGAAGGTCCAGAGTTTCTTCACTTATTAATGCTCAGTAGGAGCTGAACATTTTCCAAAAGTGGACTACAGAGAGGAAGTAATTTGATTGTTATCTGTGATGAGATTTTCTAGAGCTAAGTAGTGGAAGACACATGCAGATGGAGTTAATTTTCTTCTCAGCTTGTGTCTGTCACCTTGCATACGCATCATGAATTAATCATTTCCCATGGAACTCAAATAATACGTGAAGCATATAAGCTATTACTACGTCAGCACATAACTTTTAATTGTATGTGAATATAACGGGGTCAGTTCACCCGCAGCTGTCATTTCAGTGTCTGCTGGATGCTGGTAAGTGGGACCGCATATTTGAGAACTTATTTCCAATACGTTTTTTAGTTCTGTCAACCTGCTGTTGGAGTTTCATTTATTTTTCTTTGTGACGTTTGGCGTCATCCAAATTCTGCCTATTGCAGATAGAGTGAGATACTGTAACCACAAACCTCTCAGGTTAAATTTTGCCACTGGGGTCTCTGAAAGGTATAACAATCCAGTGTAAAATTAAGCCCACCAGCAATTACCCATTGCAAGGATAAAGCCTTCAGTAACTTCTATATTGAAGCAGAATCCACTCTGCTCTGTGTGAGAGCAAGTGGTCTCTATGCAGCGGTCTGACACACCCCCACTTGAGTCAGAGCTAGAGTACTCCAATCAGCAGGAAGCATGAGCAGTGCTGATTGGAAAGTTACAGGTCTGGCTCAACTGGGGGGGTGTTGGACCACTGCAGAGAGGCTGCTGCTCTCACACAGAGCTCTTAGCTGCATAATTCTGATGGGGACCAGGCTGATTTAGAGGAGCTGAAGCTGTTTTAACAAACAAACCAATGGTAAGCCTTTGGGCACTTCCATTTTATTACACCCTAAATGTGTTTATACAATTTTCACAGAGGCTTTAATTGGGTTTATGCTATTGCAAAACTACAATTCACAGTCAGTCCTATTGTATTTCGACAACACTTAGAAAGCCACAGGATTGTAGAACATGCCCTGTTTAAACACCAGAGGAAGTCCACGCTGCCTGCCTCTGCCTCAATATATCATTTTTGTTCATTGGCTCATTAACTTACTTGTCGTTGACAAATGAATACATTAGCAACCTTTCGTCAATGAATTTCTTCCATTCAGGCTTCTCGTTGGCCAGATCCCGATAGTTGTCGTTAGATACAATAATGCCATCTGATTCGAACGCCAGCTTCACTATGAAGCGATCATCGTAGCACACTACCCTTCTGCCCTGGACTCGGCGGGATGGAGTAAACACCAGGATCTTGTCCTTCTCTAACTTGCGCAGGATTTCTTGATCTGATAAAAAGAGATTTTTTTTCAGTCAAATGCAGCACTTGTACAATGTTACTCATAAACTCACAAGGTATGTGTCTACAGGTGTCCCATGTTTGAACATAGCCCATGGAGTATAACCAGGGGCAGATTTCTGCCTAGCCACCATAGACCATGGCTTAGGGTGGCAGGGTTGCTTAGGGCAGCACACATCTTGCCCTATCATCTGCTTTCAATATCACCATTTACACTCAAACTTCAGAGCATAGTTTGAATCTGACAACTCTGAGAAAACCTCTGATTTCTCTGAATCTGGTGGCTCTGAGAAAAATATTAGTACTAACACTGCTTACCTTCCTGATTCAGATCCGATCTTTTCATGTATGACATCCTAAGATCCAACATAGATAGGGTTGTTGATCTTTCATAATGTGTTGGAGTTATTTATGAAACTCACCAGTAATGAGGGCATCAGGTCGGGACTGTTCTTTCCTCCAGGCTGGAACAAATACGGTGACATTCTTATGTCCTCTATCCAAGAACCAGGAGACAGCTAGCTTGATCCCGTGGCAAGAAAACACTTCTTTATTACCATGACTACAACAGGGAGAAGATTGCATTAGAGTAGTTCAAACAGTTTTAAAACTTCTAACTGTATAGTTGTCTTACCACCTTCCAGGAGGGGCCTTGTGCTGCTCAGAAAAGGATTATTAAGCCAAGGATGCCATAAGTACATGGTTCTGGTAGGAATACATAAACCTACTAATTTATAATACACTGCTACCCTCATCCTCATCCTCATCCACAAAGTTAAATGCACAGAATGCTGTTGTTTCTACAAATGTACGTTAATTTTGTAGTGACAGTTTTAGATGTCTGATGACGCTCCCACGAAGGAACAATTACAAGGTAACAACATAAAGGAGGATGAAAAACAATTTCAACAAATGAATTGTAATACTCCAGTCAAACATAACAAATATTGCATGAAGGGTAACCCTTGAACAAAACTGGGCATTGTCCATTTAGAATTCCCTGTTGGTGTTGACTTCTACTGCTTTCCAAATGGTCAGGAATGCCACCCATTGCTTTACAGTACATATAGGGTGCAACCTTGTGCTAATCCTAAGCATACTAACCACAGTAAATCAGGCAAACTGTAGCTTAACTATTGCACATAAGGTGAGGTAAGATCAACCGACTCCTTGGATTGGCTCTGATAAGGCTACCCAGTACTTCTGTTTCTTGCCTTTGGGCAGCTTGATCTGCAATGTTATTGAGTTCTTTTCCTGGGGCCACAGGACCAGGTTGGACCAAGCTGGAAGCTTAGTCACATGGGAGGGGGAGAGTGAGGCACAAAGTCAGTCATACCTGAAGGGCTAGAAGTGATTTGGGCACCAGAGTGTAAAGTAAAGATGAGCATGTGCTGCTGAGAAAGAGGGAAATTACATAAACTATTTATCCTGCATAGACAAAGGAAAGGGCCCCTATAGCCTATACATTTCTTCAGTCCCATAAGAAGCATATAAATGTGCCCTCATAAGAATGCATCTTCCATCCAATTTATGCCATATTCAAGCAAATGTTAGCTTCAAAACTTGGGTCTGGTGATCCAGACATGGGATGTTGATCTTGATAGAAGGACTGACCAATAATTGGGCTATGCACCTCTAGTGTCCTTCACCCCAACACAAATGCTAAGTGGTTTAATTCATACGATAGCTAATGAATATATTCTAGTCTGGTTGTGATGCTTTTCTTTAAGGGTAATGTTTTCATTTTCAGCTAGGACTATAAAATACAATTGTTACAATTTGGTCAAGTATTAATATTTCATATTTTTTAGTCACCAGGTATTGTTTTAGGGTGCTTTATAAATGTTTAAAAGCTCTCCTAGTCTCTTTGATGAATAACATCCTACATACAGATTTCAATAGCTTAGTAAGAATTAAAGTCTCTGTTTTTGTTTTAACATATATCTACTGCTAGCAAGCAGTAGATACATGCAAAAACAATTAAACAAAATAAAAAATGTCAAATAGACAATTACTTACCTATGTCTGCGCCGCTCACTCCCGGCTGCAGTACACAGGTCCTGATTGGCCGTGCAGGAGGATGATGTGGGCAGGCGCACGCGCAGTCCATATCAGCCCTGGGGAGAGACTCAGTGGAGGTCAATGCACGCAGCAGTGAGCGTGTACGCCGGACAGACTTCGTGGGACATAGAAGAAACAGCAGTCTGTGCTGGATCAGAGACCGGCACCAGCACAAGAGAGACTGCTGGAAACAAGTAGAAGCAAGAAGATGATCGCATCAAGAGGCATCACTTAAGGTAAGTCCTTAAAGCAGTATTAGGGGGGAGGGGATTTGTTGGACTTTAATGTCACTTTAATTCCTACATCTGTCATGAACATTAGAAGGCAGTCTGTCATGCATGAGAGTTCATCTTCTGCGCTGTCTCTATAGTTCACCCACAGTGCTTTAGGAGTCTTTCGTCATGCATTGAAAGTTTATTAGTGAAACAAAAATTGTATACTTATACTTAAAGAAAACAGATATAAAAAAACAGTTTGCAAATTTATAAACTACATATAATTAAAATTGAGATCAAACTAACCTGAAACCGTTATAGTTTCCCTTCAATAAGAGAGAAAAATCTTCCAACAGACATTTATTACCGTGACCAGATGATTTTTCTCAACTAAGGGTAGATTCACTTTAGCTGGCTGTTGTTTCTACAGGACAGGAAGTGAAGTAAAATCTCCCAAATAGGACACAGGTGGCCAAAAAAATGACAGGGCTTTTAACCCTTACCTTATCTATCCAAACCTATAAATTCTGACTTTAGCTATACTTTAACCCAATGTTTGCATACTCATCTCTCCCACGCCACCAGGGGCGTAGATAAGGGGGGGGGGATAGGGGGGTTCAAACCGCCCCCAGAGTGTCCTGGCAGTGGCTAGCGAGGGGAGGGCAGAGGGGGTCACGTACTCCCGGCCGTTTAACAGCGTTCTGAAGAACCCATCTAAAGGGAGTCCGGGGATGTCCTGTTTGATGTTTTATCAAACAGGACATCCCCGCATCCCTTCAGATGTGCCTGTTCCTGCCTGGCCCTGAATGATATGTACATATCTGGCCCTACAAGTAGGGTTGCCACCTGTCCAGGATTCACCCGGACAGTTCGGGTTTCGAATGCTGTGTCCAGGTTTCATGGCAGTAGAAACCCGGACACAGGATGTCCGGCAGACAAGGGCAACCAAAGTTAAGATAAGGGCTACTGGCCCCCCACTGAAAATAGTCTTAACTGTGATTTTTACATATGAATAGGTGGAGCTATTTACATATGAATAAGCCACCACTCATTCTCCCAAAAAAATGTCTGCTCGTCGTTTGAGTGTTCGGGCTTCGCTTGAAGAAAAGGTGGCAAGCAGTAGATATAGGCAAGAAGTGTAAAAAAAAAATAAAAAACGCTTGAAATCATTTTTAAACTTACCTCGTTATCGCTGCTCGCTCCCGCGCCGAGAATCAGGAACTGCTCGTACGAGCCACTGTTCTCTGTGCTAGGGACTGACTATTCCTGCACTAGAAGATAACAGCTTCAGGATCCTTTCACCCCACCGTACCTCTAGCTCTAGGCAGGATAAAGGGACAGACCCTGACATGAAGGGACAACCACATACATGAATTGAGGTTCTAGCTTCCCCCCAAAGTATGCAGGACAGAGATGGGACACTCAGCATCCTTCTCTCTCCTCCCTTCATGTAAAACTCTCTGGCAGCTAAACTGGCTCTTTGTAATTCAACAGATGAAACAGACATTATAAGAGCAATTTGATTGTACTGATTGCTTGTCTACAGTGTAATCTCTCATATGCAATTACAGCGATGACTACTTATCACATGATTTTCTATTCACAGCACTGACGGGAATTGGCGCAATGGAAAGATAATTAATTGAACACTGCATGGGATTTAGCTACACTTTCCATGCGTATTCCCAGGGCAACAATGTCTAAGGCAAGCCAGTCAGCCTTTGATAGGGAGAACAGGGCTGGGATACCTGTATTTGGGGGACTATGTGTACACAGAAACCCTGTATGTTTATGGGAATCTTCTAAAGCAGTCTACTCAATGCAGATATTTTAGTTCACGGTTGAGGTGGAGCAGCTTAAAGTGACAATAAAGTCACAATTTATTTCCTCCCCACCATGCTGCTTTAGGGACTTACCTAAAATGATGCCTCCTGAGCCAATCATCTTCTTCTTTCCACTTTTATTCAGCAATCCCTCCAGCGCTGTTGCCGGTCTCTGATCCAGCGCAGACTGCTGTCTCTTCCTGTCCGACGTGCACGCCCCCAGCTGCGTGCATTCACTTACACTGCGCCTTTCCACTTCTCCCCGCTGAAGATCTCTACTGCGCATGCGTCCGCCCCATCATCCTTTTTTTTCCCTGTCCTAGGATGACAACACTCACACACTGTACTGTATGTATGAAGAGACAGCGTTGTCAGCCAAGAACATAAAGTGTGTCAGGACTACAGAACACCTCCCCCTCTCCAGATCTGCATAACATTTAGGGGGAGTGCTCTGTAGTTCATAGAAGTGAGCTGGGCAGGGTTAATAATATTGTTTGAGATAATGTAAATCTGCAATTTAAGAAAAAAAAAGTACGGTAAACTGGTATCATGAATAAAATGAAGACACCCTGAGAACATGAACCTTTAAATGACACTTGTCAAGAAATATGGGAGCCGCCATTATTTACCTCTTTCTGAAAAAATTTAGTTGGACCATCTCTGGCATTAACATTTTCTGAATCAGAGAACCTGACGAGCCAAAATTCCTGATCTGCATTTTTTTTTTCTGGTTAAGGCCTCATTCACACTGGGCTAACTCGGGACATACACGTCCGTGTGGCGTTCACCCCCATACCCATCCTGTCTGCATCCGAGTACAGACACCCGGATGGATGTGCAGTTTAGGTGTGCGTATGACAGCGTAAAACGCATGGACGTGTACGCCCCGAGTTATCCCAGTGTGAATAAGGGCTTAGTGATTGTGAAAGCATTTGAATGATTGGACCAGCTAGGGAACTAGTGTTTTCAGTGTTTGCCCCCTTGTATCTCTCTTGGCAACTATGAAACCTAGCATGGATCCAGGGTGCACCATTATGTAGATTCTGACTTCCCCTTCCAACGTTTAAGAGGTGTCCTGCCTCCCCCCACACCTATCCTTTGTTATTGAAGCCACCCATTAGGGTGTTGGGCCAACAATAAGGGTTTTTGTGTTGGGGAGGGGGAACCCCCTAACTTGCAAGGAAAACAGACGCCGCTGTTACTGACCTTTGCTGGTGAAAAACCTAAACGTTTCACTGTGTCGCTTATCCTCTTGCTTCAGTATTTTGGGTCACTGTCCCGAAACAAGTACACAGATACTTCAGACTTTTCTCTGACTTTCCAAAGATGTATACTTGTTCCAGGTCATTTCCTCACAAAGTCAGAGTGTAAAAGTAACTGTTGTTGGAGCGCTGGTCCCAGAAATGTATATGGTCTGGTATAGTCTCTAGGTTTTAGAGGCAGCTCTCCAGTCTAAGGGGTGTCCACTGGATCCCCAAAGTGATCCAAGAAATTTAATAATAGTCAGAGCGGCACAATTAGATTGTTTGTACAGTACAGGGAGCAGCACAGGGTATTTTAAGTGTGCTTCGCCATGAGGAAGGAGGAGTTGAAATCCCCCGAAATGCATTGGCTGCTGTTTTACAGGGTACTTTCTATACCTGAGGCCCACGGGGGCCCAGGGGGTGCAGTCAATGTGCAGGAGGAACATATTCAGCCCCCACCACTGACTGACCTGCCATCACCAAACCTCTACACTGCTGCCCTGAACCAGCTGCTACAATGAGTTCCCCAGTTATATGCCACCCACCAATCACAGGAACGATGAGGCTCAGCCCATATTCTGCATGAATTTAACTTCTCTTTCCTTACAATATAATAAAGTAACAGTTCATTTTTCATCATGGTTTCATAGCAACAGACTTCATGGCACTCCAAAACTTATGCCCAACGGGGGTGTGCCCTCAGAGTTTCCAGTTGTACTGGTTGGAACTACTTAGGGGAGAAACAGCAGCATCCACCTTAAAGGGAACACCGAAAAATCGGGAAACTACATTTTCCCAGCTGTGTGCAATGTCTATTCCACGAGGGCCCACCAGAGGTTCACTGGTCTACAAATTTTGGGAAATTATCAACCTCCGAGATAAAATGTGTTAATTCTTATATATTTTGATTAGATGAATTAGAAAACAGGTGATAAAAGGTGCTGGTGCAAGGTACATTTGTCTTGGTCAGATCTACGCAGCATACAGTTACATTTGTTGGCTTGTGAAATTGTCATTGCCTAACCAAGCAAAGATGCCTCGAAACTGTGTAAACAACGCACATAACTTCTGCTACATCTGCTCAAAAATGCAGTGTGACTGAAGTGGTAAAAAAAGGCATAACACCTATATTTTGGATGCAAACTAGGTGATCAGGAGAAGAGTCGGGCCCCTTATCATTGTTGCATTACATGTGCAACTTTTCTGCGTCATTGGCTAAACAAGAAAAAGTCCATGCTATTTGCAGTTCCAATGGTGTGGAAGGAACCCACCAATCATAGTAGCGACTGCTATTTTTGCATGGTTCACCCAATTGCAAAAGGGATCTCAAGAAAGAAGAAGTGGACCATGAAATATCCAAACATTCCATCCACATCTGCCTATTACAGATCCACCAGAATCCTACTCTCCAGACTCAGATGAAGATAAAGACAATAAGCAGGATGCCGCTGATCCGGGGCCGTCAATGTCAGCGGACCCAAACGTTAGCTAACTGTATGCTCCTCCTGAACCACATCTAATTTCACAGAGTGAAATAAATGACCTAGTCAGGGATTTGGAATTGTCTAAGAGTAAGGCAAAGATACTGGGCTCCAGATTACAACAGTGGAACCTCTTGCAGAGTGGTGTCAGGATCTTCATTTTCTGTGAAAGCCAAAAAGATCTGGTTCAGTATTTCTTAGTGGAAGGTGATTTGGTTTATTGCAATTATATTGATGGCTTAATGACAGCCCTTAACATTACCCACAATCCTGATAAATGGAGATTGTTCATAGATTCGTCTAAAACAAGTCTAAAAGCTGTTTTATTGTGAAATGGGAATGTTTGGCAATCTGTTCTTGTTGGGCATGAAGTCCACATGCAAAAAAATGAAAATAGGAAACAGCTGCTGAGGTGTATAAAGTATGAGGAACATCAGTGGCAGCTATGTGGTGATTTGAAAGTTGTTGCCCTGTTGCTTGGCCTGCAGGGTGTATACACAAAGTACTGCTGTTACCTCTGTGAATGGGACAGTCGAGCCAGAGATTCTCATTATGTCAAGAAAGACTTGGCCATCACGACAGTCCTGGGAGCCAGGAAAGAAAAATGTTCAAAATCCAGCTCTTGTTGACTCTGGAAACTGGAGCCGATTAATACTTATGACCTAAAAGAGAACTATTTCTCTAGCTTTCTCTAGCCGACCTGTGACAATGAAACTGTCACAGGTCTGTTGAGTAGATCGGGAAGTGAGCCAACACATACTATTATTACATATTATTCCCCCTGTTTTTCTGAATCAGACCTTGGGTCTCCTCTTAGGGGTCTATTCACAAAACTGCCGAAGGATCTGGCCGTAGCTTCGGCCGATCCTTCGGCTGGCTTTGGCCCCAGGAAGAGCCAAGAAAGCTTGGATAAAAGCCAACCACACTAACCTAATCATATTTAAGTTTATTATTGTGGTCAGAGATGTGTGTTATCTCAGCAGCGTTTCTTAGTTGGTAATGATATAATTCCATGCACTTCTGGTCTAATTCTGCAAGGGATACAATGAAACACAAGCACAGAGGGAAGAAGAGGGAGGCTACAGGTGGAGGCTGCATATAAACGAATGACGCAGAGGTCACCCAAAGATGTCTGAGTAGGAGGATAAAACTCCTCTATGAAGTTACACGCTGACGTACTGTATGTGTGTTACATTGTCTTAGTCAACCTACATGAATTAAGTATAATGTAATATACAAAAAATAATTTGCTGTTTTCTTAAATATTTGTTTTCTCTATTCACTCATGGCCTTATAATTAGAGGTGCACCGAAATGGAAATTTGAAAACCGAAATAAAAAAAATTGTCAGGCCGAAACCGAAAATGTTTTTTATTTTAATTTTTTAAAAATATTTAATTTTAATTTTTTATAAACTTTTATATTTATTTTTACGGGAAAGAGAGACACCGGCCGCTCACCACGCTCTCCTCCCGCAGCGCTCGGCAGGCTGTCACACTTTCTCTCCTCCCCGCTGGGACATAGAGCAGTGCCCAGCGGGAGGAAAGAAAGCAATGGATGCGCCGATGTATTGGCAGAAAAATTGCACTTTCGGCATTTAGCCAAAAGTGCAATTTTTGGCCCATATATCGGTGCATCCCTACTTATAATGATAGACAATTAAACAAAACATAACACCTTTAAAACTGAACTCTGGGCAAACAGCTAGTACACAGATGAAATACATATGTGAATTGTTTCCCCAAAGAATTTGTATTTCTGGACTTCCCATTATAAGATTTTTACAAATCTGCCACATAATACAGCTCTGTTTGGCACGGCAGAAGACTTGATCTTGTACTGTTGCCTTATCCTACACTTAGCCTGTGACTGGACAATGAAGGAGAAGCAGCAGACTGATGAGCTCACCTCTCCCTCTCGCTCTGGTCTCTTCTTTTATCAGCAGGTACCTTGTTAGCACATAAGAATTGCAGCACAACTTGTGCAGCTTCTCTCTCTACCAGTCTGAGCTTTGCTGTAAAAGGAGCTTGCAAGAGTCTGATACCAAGTCAAGTTCAGGTAATTACACTGCTTGCACTTTATTGATGAATAATTGAGATAAATGTGACCGCTTGAACTGCCTTTGAGATTATAGGCACTCTATTACTTCATATACCTTTTTGCTGTACTCAAAAATTAAATAAAAATCTAATGTAATAAAAACAATACATATTAATGTGTACAGAGCTGCATTAAATTGTGTATTTTAGATCTGCCTGAAGTTATGCTTTATATAATGCACAAACATTCTAAGTATATCTACATAACTTGTATGTTATGTATGTTAACCAAATATAATTCTTCAAACTCAGAACCTGAGTCTACTGACTCACTATTCGTTATTGACTTACCTCATGGCAACATTGCTCCCATCAATAACAATGGGCTTTAGGTTATCACTATCATCTATTCCCTCCTGGTGAAAAGGAGATTCCGATCTTTGAGACTCAAAGGATGATGGTTCTCGCACATTTGTGTTAACACTTCCATTTTGCTCGCTTTCACTTTTGCTGCCAAGCTTGACAAGTTCCCCTAAAATGTCATTGATTAAAGCATTAGTACCCAGCTTGTTGAGAACAAGAAGGACTTGTTCTTCTGAGTATCCTAGTTTAAGTGCAAAGTCCAGTTTCATTTGGTAATCCTTTGACTCGTCAGGTGGCTTCTTGATCTCCTTAGCTCCCATTAGATCATCCTCATTTTTTAGGTCCTGAAGAATCTCATTCCTTTTTAGAATGTATGGCTCAATGCAAGGAGAGCGACAGAGCTGTCTATGTGGCTTGGTTACCTGACAAGGTTCGACTATGAGTCTTCCTGACAACTCCAAGTCGTTGTCAGAATTTGTGCTTTCTTCAGAGTCACCACTGGTGCTGCAGGTTTCCTCTGAGTTATCTTTGTCCAAATCGTCCTTTCTGGAATTGATTTTATCCATGGTGGGTTTCCGCAGGATAGTCCACGGTACAATTGCACTTAAAGCGGAATTACTGCTGTCTGCGTAAAGGTGTCCGAAGCTGTGCCCGAATTCATCCTTTAAGCCCATGAAGCCGGTACATGTGTCCGGCTCCACCTTGCTGCTATTTCTAAAGCCTTGATAGTATGACCTGAACTCCTGCAAAACAGAAAAAATGATGACCATAATGATGCCAGCAAAGTAACAGTCATTATGAGAAGAACAAAAACAACAAAAATAAAAAGATGTTTCTGCCATCATGATAGGAAACATTGTACAGGGTTACTATAATATGGTATTTTGGCAGCTACAAAGGCCTCAAGCTAAATGTACCGGTTTGTCTCTCTGTTAATAGCAGTATGTCGCTCTGTTCCTTGAAGATGCATTCAGGGCAGGTCCATTAAGGATAAAAATGTCTCCTAAATATAAGAATGCATCCCAATAACCCCCAAGCAGGGTATATCCACCCATCCATATTCGCTTGTCATAAAAAAAACTCAGAATTTGGATGGTTTTTAAAATTTACCCTGGTGGATAATGTCAATGCCTTTATGTGATAGTATTAAGACCTGGTGATTGGATTCTGAAGCTTGAGCACTGATGCATGAGGAAGGTCACATGATCCCCAATAACTGAAAGCCATATTCTGTTAGAGAAACCAAGCAAGGGATATGGCGGAGTGGGGAGGTGGCCTGGTGATTAGATGCTGAAGCCTGAGCACTGATGCATGAGGAAGGTCACATGCTCCCCAATAACTGAAAGACATATTCTGTTAGAGAAACCAAGCAAGGGATACAGTGGAGTGTGGAGGTTGCTTAGGAGCATGGATCACTGCGCAGCTAAGACTGTGCAACCATTTTGCTCTGAATGGGCAAAGTGACAGTGACTTCTACTTTTAAGGAGGAGTAGGCTATCTCCTGGTACACCTGCATTTAATTTATCAACTGCATCAATATGTTCCCACTTGGAGACTCATATAAATAGAGTTAGGACCACACTTTACAAATGGGCCTTGACACGGCAGTGTGGCTTCTACATATTTTTGGCCAAAGGTTTGTGCAACTAAAACCTCTGCTTTTAACGCATACTGTTAGACAGGGACATTTGTTTTGTTGCAGGCTAGCTGGCAGGTGTGCTGGGGACTTCTTTGTGTTTTGTATTTCTTTAAATGAAACCTGCTCTGTTAATATGAAGGCCACCATTTCTGACCTCTCCTCCTTTAAATGCTAGCAGCCTGGCTGTCGTACGTTAATAATTTCTGAGGCACTGGTTTGCAAAAACCACACAGATTAGGATCTCTGAGTATACTCTGACTTATCTAATCTACATGCTTGTTTGGGTCAGTACTCAGAAAACATTTAAGCTAGAGACATCCAGGAAACTGTTGTTTTTAGAAGGAGTTTAGCAATGGTAACTACCATATATCTTTTTATACGGGCTTCCTTGAAAGGGTCAGTCCAACCAAAACTGAAATTTTAGTGTAGTGGGTGCTGGAAAGCTAACCCACCTAGCTGTTTCATACAATAGGAGAGAGTTCTATGCTTGAGTTCCTTGGTCTGCACACTTGCAGTATCCAAGACATCTAGGAAGCCAGATGCTGACACCTAAAAACCAAAATATCACTTTCAGATGGACTGTCTCTTTAACAATAATCGGTGGCAGGAGACATATTTGTAAGACAAAGAAATGTTTAGAGAACATGTGTCTGCTATATGGTCATTGCTCGGGGACAGTGATCACTGATTTAGCAGCTTTCTTGCCCCTTCTCCATGACCTATAATTGCCATCTGTCCCCAATCTCCGGTCCCCTTCTGAAAGCCTCAAATGTATGTCTCTGTGAATGCCCTGAGGTTTTCATAACTATCAATCTTTCTATAATTCTATTTATAGGCACATTATTATTTATTAACATGATCAGTTTATCATTATGAGCAAAATCATAAATATCACAAGAGCTTTAACTCCAACGTAAGATCTTGGTGAATAGTGCTCTAGGACAATATTAGACAGGGCAAGATACACCAACTCAGGAACAGCGTCCATAGAAATGATTTTAAAACTATTCCAACGGGACGAGAATCTGTCACTGTTATGATTATTGTTGTTATTATTATTATACAGGATTTATATAGCGCCAACAGTTTGCGCAGCGCTTTACAATATATGGAAGACATTCCTTACAATACAATTCAATACGATTTAATACAATACAATTCAAGACAAGATGGTTGTCACAGTTCAGCTGCAGACTTGCAGCAGAGCTGTTACTTGTAGTTCTACCAGTATATACATACCTCTTACCCCTGGTTCTGCAGGCATGCAGGGCTGTGCTGGTGCTTGTAGTCCTCCAGACATGTGCTCTGAACCTGACTCACTCTTGCACCTGTCTGCAAGCTTTAGGCGTCGGCCGACCTCTCCTGCTGTTTCTTATGCAGTTTCTTGGCCAATCAGTGCAGTCTGCTTGTGGCCAATCCTGTGGATCCTCCCTCTTCCTGTCTCTATTTAAACTCAGGGCAGCGAACGGCACGCGGCACGCACAACGCTTTCCTAAGCTGGTTGCCGAGTGCCCCATTTGTGATTTATCCTGAATTCCCGGAAGTTTTCCCGTGTACGGAACCTTTGGCTTGTCCTTGGAAATCCCTGTCTTCAGCCTGTCCCTAACCTTTGATTCGTACCCTGTACCTGTTAGGTGAGTTGGGTGGACTTAGGGATTGTGACCTGGGGCCAGCACGCAGCCAAGCCCATCTCCACCATCAGGAGCTCTGGCGAATACCGGCTGGCTCTTAGATTCCACATCCTGGGGAACCCCTGCCACCTACTCAGCATACCATGCCACCTACTCAGCATTGCAGTACCCTGCCTTGTATTTGAACTTCCAGCTTTAGCTGACTTCCACTACCTCATTCAGTTCCCCTGCTGGTACTCCAGCTCTGGGAGTCATCAGCCTACACTGCTTGGACCCTTTTCTCTGAGGGTCCCTGCCAGTGTAGTGGAAAGGGTCCACATACCGGACTCCAGTTCATACCCGTGAGTCCCAATCCATGATAATGGTAAGGAGGGCTCTGCCCGTGAGGGCTTACAATCTAGGAGGGAGGGGGAAGTGATACATGAGGAGGTAGCTGTGTGGGGATGAATTGTATGAGAATGTGATAGTTCAGTGGTTAGGTTGAGGTGGGATAGGCTTCCCTGAAGAGATGAGTCTTTAGGGATTGCCTAAGGGCAGTCAAGGTGGGAGATAGACGGACATGTTGGGGTAAAGAGTTCCAGAGGATGGGAGAGACTCTAGAGAAGTCCTGGAGGCGAGTATGGGAGGAGTTGACAAGGGAGCTGGAAAGCAGGAGGTCTTGTTATTAATATTATTATGCAGGATTTATGTAGTTTGCACAGCGCTATTTAAAATAAAGGGAGCCAGTGCAGTTGCAATATGATTCAAGACAAGAGGGTTAGGAGGGCCCTGCTTGTCAGAGCTTACAATCTATAATTTAAAAAAAATCCTGCCTGAAAGGAAAATATGTTTTACTTACCTGTCCTGATACCCATGCCATCAGTCTTCTCTCCCTAGAAGAACTAAGCAGAAGAATTTTCTGCGTCCAGTACTTCCAGGACTGTCCTATGCCTGATCCTCCTCTGCACTCTCTGTTTCCATCTTGCAGTCCCTTCATCACTACAGGAGACAATAGTGACCTAGAGACTGGTGGAAGGTACCACAGTGAGCAGCAGGGGACCAGGCATCCAGCACACCCAGATGATGTCTAATGCTGAAGATTTTTAGATTTTTAAAAAGTGACCATTTATTGGATCAGCAAGACAGCCAGGCAACTAGAACTTTCAGAAGGAAAGAAGGTTAGTAATAGTAGCCGTATTCCATCAGAATAGGTTTCCTTTTATGTCTAGAAAGTATTTGCTACTTTTTATACCGTATTGTTTTGTTTCAATGAGGCCCTCCAATGCATCTTTGGACTCTGAAGATCTCCAATAGATCTCTGACAGCCTATTGTCTACAGACTGGCAAGAGCAGATGTCTTTGCCTGCCCCCCTTTCAGAGGTCCTTGTGGAATACATAGTCCCTTCACCCACCCCCAACGACACAGGAACAGCACGGCTACGTTTTCATTCACAAGTCTTCCAGTTTCCCATTTATAAAGCATTCATGCACAAAAACGACCCGCCAAGATAACAACTGAAAATCTATTCAATAAAGCCAAATAAAAATACCAGAAGGGCATTACAAATACGAAAACGTGCTCTGAGGTTGTAGCCAGAATAGAGATAGAAGTAAAATCATATATAAAGAGCGTAGTATAAGATTGCTGTGTGACCTTGAGAGCAGCACGGGAAGTTAAATATTATTGTCACAGGACATTTATTAATGGAAAGCAGATACAAACAAAGGTGTTCCTAAAACGTATCAATAACCCCGTTCATTCATGAATCCAGATAAGGAAACTGGAATGCACGGAATTACAGATATGAGATCCTGCCCTTCTCTTCAGTACCCTTAACTTTACTGACCTCAATAACTGCTTTTAATAAGGTATCACAAAGAGCAATGATATGCCGTCACCCAATCAGATTGTACTATTTAGCACTTAACAGGGGTCCCTGAATTATAGTTTCTTGCATAGGGGGAAATATTAAGAAGGAAATCCAGGTTTTAACAATGCTCAACACAACTGGAGGTATATTTAAAACAAAATCCTGACAAATTCAGGTGCTGTCCAATCAAATGTCACTCTTTTTATTTCAGTCTCACATTCAGACACTAACTACTTCCTGTTGCCTCTAATTTAAAGCGACTCTGTCAGTCACTTAAAAAATTCCACATAGAGGTCCTTGCCATGGAAAAGCTATTATACTCACCTCCCTGGCAGCCTGTGTCTCCTATCATTGATCTGTTTCAGCTCTTTAGGCTCCATCAGACTCCTCATAATACAACACTTCTTGGAGTGTCGAAGTGTCTGTGTCCCCGGGCTGCATGCTGCCACAAGAAATTCTTTATGTGACTAACAGGGTTGAAAACATTTCTTATAGTCGTCCCTTCCATAACCGTGACACAATATCCATTCCCTTATTGTTTTCTTTATTAACTATTTGCCAGCAACAAACTGGCACCATTCCAATCCATGCTGCCTGACTGATCCACGTCTCAACTGGATCCT